TCTGGGGGCAATTTTCAAGCCACAGGATAGGAAAATAGAGCTCAGGTAGAAGGTAGAAGTCTTATTGAGCAGAGGAAACAGAGACTGGAATTTGAGGCTGCTAAGTGGCTGGAATTTGATGGGTAGGGCACCAGAGAGGAGCGAACCACACAGAGGAAGCTGCTAAAATCCCCTAGGAACTTTGCCAAATCCCAATTCTCTCATGTGTGATGAAAGACTCTGAGAAGCCAATAACAGCTGCTGGGGGACTGTGGCAGATTGTATTTTGTAAATATGGTCACAACAGTATCTCCTATCCCACATGCTCTTCTAAAATGTGACTTTGGCATGCTCCTATCAAAAGATGGAGGCTGTTTTTCTCCCCTTGAGTCTGGATGGGCTGTGATTGCTTCAGACAGTAAAGAACAGGGAAGTGATGTGTGACTTTTGAGGCTGGGCAACAAAAGACTGTTCAGCTTCCATCTTGTTCTTTAGAATTCTTGTGCTTGGAGCCATGAGCAGCTATGTAAGCATTCTGGCTATCCCAAGCTGTATGGAGACGCTACATCTAGACAGACACTCTGGTCAGTAGTTGTGGACTTCAGGTCATCTAAAGCCAGGCACCAGATAGGTCAGGAGATTCCAGCCCAAGTTGTCAAGGTAGACTTAGCTTTTGAACCTTCCCAGCTGAGGCCTGTGACAATGTGGAACAGAGACAAATCAATTTTACTCTTCTGTGCATGAATTCCTAACCAACAGAATTGAAGAGCATAAGAAAATGTTTTTTTAAATTGCTAAGTTTGGCCACAACTAGAGGGGCCCACAACTAAAATATGCAACTATGTCCTGGGGGATTTGGGGAGAAAAAGTGGAAAAAAAATAAATTGTTAAGTTTGGGGGTAATTTGTTACATAGCAACATAATCAGAACATGGAATTAGACCCAAGCAGAGTTTTTTGAGGTTGCAAAGTGGTGGGGAGACACTGGAGTTCTGGCCCAGGCAGAGCGACCTTGCTGAACATACTAGACATTTAATGTAAATCTCAGAATGGTGAGAGCTAAGGTGAAAAGTCTACATTTCTGGAGGAAATACTCTAAGATTAAGAATAAATCTGAAATATACTCTTCTTGCCAGGAATTTACTGCCCAACAGAACAAAACATAGCATTATTTAGAGGTAGATTATATAACCCAGAATCTCTACAGAGTTTTATTGAAAATGTCCAGCATATAATTAAAAAAAAACCCCAAACATGCAAAGAAGTAGAAAAATACAACCTACAATGATGAGAATGAAGTTAATAGAAGTAAACTCAGAAATGATCTAGAGGTTGGAATTAGCAGACAAGAATATTAAATAACTATTATAAATTATTTAAAGAATTTATAGAAAAGGTCAACAAAATGTGTAAACAGACAGGAAGTTTCATCAAAGGAATAGAAACTTAAAAGAAATTTTAAAAGTAGAAATTCTACAAAAATGTCCTCCTTGAAATTAAAAGCCTGTTGGGTTGACAACACTATACTGGATGTGGTTGAAGAAGAGATCCGTGAATTAAAAGACAAGTCGGTAGAAATTAAACAAAGTGATGAGTAAGAGGGAAAAGGAAAGTAAAAAACAAAACGAAACAACCTACCCCAAAGTCCCTAAGACTGATCAATGTCAAATAGTCTAACATGTGAGCTACTGAAGTCTCAGAAGTAGAGGAGAGAGAAAAAATATTTGAAGAGATAAAGGCTGAAAATTTCCAAAATTGATGAAAGACATCAATTGCAGATGGCAGAAGCTCAGCAGATATCAAGCAGGAAAAATGCCTACATGCATCATAGTCAAACTGTTGAAAACCAAAGAGAAAGAGAAAATCTTAAAAGCAGTTGCAGTGTGTGTGTGTAATATGACATTAAGGGGAAAACAAGAATAATGAAGGCTGACTTCTCATGAAGAGCAATGGAAACAGAAGACAAAGAAGGACATCTTTAAAATGTTGAAATAAAATAAGAAACTGGAAGTGAAGAATTCTACATCCAGTGAAAATATCCTCCAAAAACAAAGGGGAAAAAAGGGCTTTTTAAGACAAATATAAACTGAGACAATTTGTAGCCATTGGAATTAAGCTACAAAGAATGCTGAAGAAAGTGTTTCTGAGTAAATATAAAGGATCCCAGATATAAGGTCAGATTAACAAGAATGGAGAAAGAGCACTGGAAATTGTAATATGTGAGTAAATATAAAAGGATGTTTTGTCTTTTTCTTAAAGGACTATTGACTATTTAAAACAAAATAAAAATATATGATGGGATTAATACTATATGTAGAAGGAAAATATATTACAACAAAAGCACCAGGGGCAGAATGGGGGCTAACTGGAATTATGCTGTTGTAAAGTTCTTATATTTTATATGAATGCTATAATATTAATTCAAGCTAGACTGCTATAATTTGAGGATGCCTATTATAATCCTCAAAGGAACCACTTAAAATTTCAGAGTTACAGCTAAAAGCCAATAGAGTAGATAAAATGGAATATATAAAACTACTTGATAAATCCAAAAAAGGGCAGGGAAAGTGGAACACAGAAACAAAGTACCAAAGAACAGAGGGAACAAATAGGAACCAAAAGCAAGATGGTAGAATTAAATGCAAACCCATCAGCGATTACACTAAGTGAAAATGAACTATAAGCTTACGTATTGAGTAAAATTATCTATTGCCAAAAACCAAATTATCCCCAGACTTAGAGGCTTAAAATAACAAACAACTTTTTTCACTGTTTCAGTAGATTAGGAATTCAGGAGAGGCTTAGCTGGGTGTTTATGGGTCAGGATCCCTCCTTAAATGGCAATGGGATGTTGGCAGGGGCTGCAGTGATCTGACGCCCTGACTGGAGATGGAGGACCTGTTCCCACATGGCTCGCTCCCATGGCAGTTGGCAGGAGACCTCTGCCTCAGATAGTCCTCTCCACAGGCTGCTGGAACACCCTTATGACGTGGCATCTAACTGCCCCCAGAGGGAGCAGTTCAAGTGAGAGAGCAAAGAACCTATAGTGCCTTTTAGGACCTAGTCTCTTAAGTTGTAAATCATCACTTCTGCTTTATTCTATATGTTAGACGTGAGTACATTCAAGGAAAGGGTTTTAGGCTCCATCACTTGAAAGGACAAATATAAAAATTTGTGGACATGGGTTTTTTTTTAAATCGTGGTAAAATATACATAATATAATATTTACCTTTTTAGCCATGTTTAAGTGTATAACTCAGTCGCATTACGTACATTCACAATATTGCACAGCCATCACCACTAACCATTTCCAGAACTTCTCCATCATTCCAAACAGAAGCTCTGTACCCATTAAATACTCACTCTGTGTTGCTCCCTCCCGCAGTCCCCTGGTGACCTCAATGCTGCTTCTGTTTCTATGAATTTCCCTATTCTAGGTACTTCATATAAGGGGAATCATACAATATTTGTCATTTTGTGTCTGGTTTAGTTAGTTTAGCAAAATGTTTTCAAGGTTCATCCATGCTGTAACACGTATCAGAACTTCATTCCTTGTATGGCTCAATACTATCCCATTGTATGTATATACCACTTTTTTGTTAACCCATTCATCATCTGATGAACACTTGGATTGTTTCCACTTTTTACCTATGATGAATAATCTGCTATGAACATTGGTTTACAAGTATCGGTTTGAGGGCCTGCTTTCAATTCTTTTGGGTCCATTCCTAGAAGTTAAATTGTTAGATCATACTTTTAAGTTTTTGAGGAAGAAACTGTTCACAGAAGCTACACTATTATACATTCCCACCAGCAGGGAGCAAGGGTTCCAACTTCTCCCAGCGTCACCAACACCTGTTATTTTCCGCTTTTCTGATAAGTGCCATCCTAGTGGGTGTGAAGTGGAACCCATTATGGCTTTGATTTTCATTTCCATAAGAACTAGTAATGTTGAGCATCTTTTCACGTGCTTGTTGACTATTTGTATATATTCTCTGAAGAAATATCTATGCAAGTCCTTTGCCCATTTTTGAATTGGGTTTGTTTTTTTGATGTTGAGATCTAGGAGTTCTTTATAGATTCTGGATCATAATCCCTTATCTGATATATGATTTGCAAATATTTTCTCCAATTCTGTGGGTTGCATTTCTCTCTGTTGGTAGTGTCCTTTGACGTACAAAAGATTTTAATTTTTTTTTTTTAAAGATTTTATTTTTTCCTTTTTCTCCCCAAAGCCCCCCGGTACGTAGTTGTATATTCTTCGTTGTGGGTCCTTCTAGTTGTGGCATGTGGGACGCTGCCTCAGCGTGGTTTGATGAGCAGTGCCATGTCCGCGCCCAGGATTGGAACCAACGAAACACTGGGCCGCCTGCAGCGGAGCGCGCGCACTGAACCACTCGGCCACGGGGCCAGCCCCAGGAGTTGTGCGTTTTAAGTGTAGCTATTTTGAGGTCTTAAGAGCCAAGAGTTATTAGAGATTTTTGAATTATAGATGCAAAGGCCACTGAAAAATCCTACAGATTTTAATTTCGAATAAAGTAAATATCACTCTCTAATCTCCCACATTAATGAAACTCTCTTTGGGGTCCCTGTTTTTCAGAGTAAAGGGGTCTTGAGAGCAAAAAGTGAGCCAACCGCTGTAGTTTAGCCCCAGCCATGCCTGGTCCCTTTCCTGCTCTGACCTCATAAGGAGCCCCTGTGATGGAATTTCCCAAAAGCCTGTATAAGCCTCTGCCCGGCCTAGGGCTTTGGTACTTACCCAGGAAGCTGCTCTGGTGACCTGAGGAATCTGCCACAGTTAGTTTGTTTTCTCCGTTTTTTTTTTTTTGCCCCCTGATTTTGTTCATTTTTTTTCAGTTTGCTGCTTTTTTGTTCTTTTCTTTTTGTTTTGTTAGTTTTCTTTGTTTTCCTTTTTTTATTTTTTTGGGTTTTGTTCTCCTTCTTATTTTTCCCCCTTTTAAATCTTTAATTTTTTTATTATTGATTTATTTTTATATTATATTTTTACATTATATTTTTATTATATTTATATTTTTTATATTTCAGTTTTTCCTTGTTATTTTCTCATTTTTAATTTTTCCTTGTTTTTGTTCTTCTTCGCGTTTTCTTTAAATTTTTTAGCTAGTATTGTTAGCATAGTTAGCATAGTTAGCATAGTTAGTATAGTTAGCAGTGTTGGCATAGTCAGTAGTTAGTATCTTTGGTAGCGTTCGTGTTATTTATTAGAGTAGTTAGGAAGCATAGCTGGCCTAGTTACTTTAGTTAGCCCATATTAGCTAGCCTCCTATCGTTTTGTTTGTTCACATAGTAAGCGTAGTTAGCGTCGTTCGTTAGTGTTATCAGTTAGCGTAGACAGGAGCCAGCATGCTTCCTGGCCTGGCGGCCACCTCTGCTGGCAGGCAGCCCTGTCCGCGGGATTACCAGCTGCGAAGGACCCTTGGGGAGGGCTCCTTCGGCATTGTGAAGCTGGCCCTGCACGTCCCCAGCGGGACGGAGGTGGCCGTCAAGATCATACAGAAGAAGGAGCAGAGCGCCGCCACTGCCAAGAGACTCCTGTGCGAAACGCAGGGTCTGGCGCGATTACGTCACCCCCATATTTTGAGGCTGGTGGAGGTGATGGAAAGCGAGGAGACAGTATTCATAATAAGTGAATACGTGCGCGGAGGCAACCTGCTGGACCACCTGATGGAGCACGGCCCCCTGACGGAGGAGGAGGCGCGAGGCTGGTTCCGGCAGCTCGTCTCTGCTCTCCAGTACTGCCACCGCCGGGGCGTCATACACCGGGACCTGAAGCCAGAGAACGTGCTCCTGGACCCGGCGGGGAGCGCGAAGCTGGCCGACTTCGGCTTCTGCAGCCTGGACCCTGGCGGGCCGCTGAGCACGTTCTGCGGCACCCCCGGCTACATGGCCCCGGAGGTCATGCAGCTGCAGCCCTACGACGGCCCCCCGGCCGACGTCTGGAGCCTCGGCGTGCTGCTCCACGCCATGCTTGCCGGGTCCCTGCCATTCTGGGGGGAGGACTTCGACGCCATACAGCGCAGCACGCTCAGCGGGGCTTACTCGCCGCCCAGGCTGGTGTCGTGCCAGTGCGCCCAGCTGCTCAGAGGCCTGCTGACCCTCGACCCTGGGAAGAGGAAGACTTTGGAGGAGGTGATGGGGGACCCGTGGGTCAACTGGGGCCAGCCGAGGCTGAGGCCTTACAGGGAGCCGCCTGCTGACACGAGGACCGCCTGGGGGACCGACGAGATGCCGAAGGCCCAGCAGCCGCAGGGGGGTGGTCACGCCAGACCCCTGACCTCCCTCCCCTCCAACAAGGCCCACAGCTGCCGTGCTTTGCAACACTGCACGGCGTGGCGGAGGGCCTCGGAGCCCCGCGGCCGGCGCGCTGGCAGTGAGCCAGTTCTGCCTACCTGGCTCCGGGAGGCTGGCCGTCAGCGGCCCAGCGAGAAGCTGCAGTCAGGGCCGAAGGCCGCAGAGCCTGGCGGTGCTCTGCCCAGCCTGGACTCATGCCCCGCTGCCCCCAGCCCGGCCCCCCCATGGGACCCCGGGGCCGTCCCCTCCTCCGACAGCGCCCACACCACACGTGGGGCCCAGGAGGGAAGCTGCCAAGGAGACTCCCGGCAGGCGGGGCAGCCCCATGTGGTGACCCCGGCCTCGCCCTCTGGCCGCAGCCAGGGCCGAGGGGGCGCTGCCAGGAGGCTGTTCAAGGCACTCCGAGGTCTGTGCTGCTGCCTGCCAATCAGGATCGGGTCTGGCAAGAGGAACAGGGTGTGGCCCCGGTGAGGTCCCAGCAGGTCCGGTCCCAGCCCAAGGGTCGAGCTGCCCCCTGCATTGTCCGCGCACAGCAAGCAAGTCGCAGAATCCGGAGCCGGCCCCGGGCGTGGGGCTTCAGCCAGAGGGAGACGCCTTCTGCTGTGAGTGGGGGCCGTGCAAGAAGGACACGCGTGTGTGCAAAGATGCGGGTGAGAGGCCTTGCTCCAGCGGCCAGGGGACCTGTGCCAACCGCGGCGGCGCTCTCTGCAGAGATTCAACTTGGAAGGGACCTGGCCCCTCTGGGAGCCTCCAAAGCATCGCGTCCAAACACTCGGGGAACCTAGAGGACGGCCTGGAGGCACCTGGGGGACACGAGGAGAGGCCACCCTCGCTGCAGCTCTGCCCCTTGGCCCCACCGGGGTGGAACCTCAGAGCCTGGACTGCTTTTCCCGGAGCACAGCTTCCCTCCCCGTCCTCTCCGTCTCTTCTTCCACGTTGAGGGGCTGACGGTCGGGTCTCGGAAAGTCCTCGGTTTTCCAAGTCTTGTAATAAACTTGCTGCTGCAGAAAGCTGTGTCACAGATGCTCTGTTTTTGCACCCTCCTTACGCAGTGCCGGGGCTGGGCGGGCTCCAGCTTGAGACGCGTGTAGGGATGTAGCCCGAGGAGGTGATCAGAACAACTAGGTGGAGAAGTGACTCAGAATTCTTGGGGTAACGCTCCTAGCAACTAATGCGGGTCTGAAGGGACAAGGCTGGGAGCCACAGTGGAGGGCAGAAAGGCAGCGACCGTGGCTAACACTAGCTGACGTTTCCAGAAGCAGCACGGGAAACTTCGAGCCTGTGGCTTTTATGACTACAAGCGAGAGGTCCAGATAGGGTAACCGAGTCCGTGAGCCACCCTTGGGGGGTCGGGGTGGCAGGGTGTGGGCCCCCGAGCGGACTCAGGTCACTTCCACGTGCAGATGGGTCTTCCGACTGTATCGCAGGACTTGGCCCTGGGCACTGGGACGATTTCTCCTTTTGATGACGGTGATGCGGAGCAGGCCCCTAAGAGCGCTGACGAGGTGTGGGCTGTTCGGACAGCTGCAGGTTCCAGGGGAGGTGACAGGAAGCCAGACATCCTGGGGCTCCAGAGGGAGGGTCAACCATCAGGGAGCTTCCGCAGGGGCTCCTCAGAAGCCTGAGGATGGCCAGGAGGCCGCTGGCTGCTGCTCGCGAGGCCGGTGGCACTGTGTGCAGTCTTTCCACGTGCTCACGAGACGGCTCGGGACGGTCCCAGCACGAGAGTGGGCAGAGATTTCCCTGCGCCCACGGAGTGCAGGGCCAGGGCCAGGAAGAGGAGGGCTGTGGACATGCTGGGAGGCTTGTTGCTCCCCGTTCGGGTCCCCCGCTGTGGTTTTCCTTACGCCAAACAGCCCAGCGTGTGGTCCTCCGGCATTGCTCTCCTGGCATCTGTCCAGGGCCCCCCTTCCCTTCAGGGCCTGTCCCACTGCCTCGGTGGGCTTTCGGGGCCCTCTGTGACCTGCTCCCGGCAGCCCTTTGCACTCCCACCTCCTCCTTGGGCTTTACTCACACTGACTGGTTCGGTTTTCCACAAATCCTCTGCCCGTGAGGCTCCCCCTCGGTGAAGCCCACATGCTGGGCGCTTGGCCAGACTCACGGGCTCCCCGAGGGGAATGAGGCATGGATCCCGCTGGAAGAGCACAGCCCAGCTGGGAAGAGAAGGCGGGGACCCAACAGGAGGACAGTCCCCTGTGGCGGGGACAGAGGCAGGACGTGCCCAGCTCAGCACACGCTCACCCCCTGCTGGCAGTCTAAAGGGAGGTGGCACCTAGTGGGGAGGGCTGCAGGCTCTGACCGCAGCAATCGGAGGAGGCGTCCCAGACAGAAGGAGGCTGCGGTGGTGGGCACGTACAAGACAGAGGCAGGCGCGAGGCTTGGGGGGACGTGGACCAGCACCCCTTGTTTCTGGGACCACTTCCGCTGGGTGCATTGTGCTCTGTGTCTCCGAACTTCGATATCCCCCAGCTCAGGCCTGGAGAGCAGTCAGCTGCGATGGCGGAACGCTCTGCTGATGAGGCTTTCTCTGTCTCTTCTGTGAGCTTGGGCGCTGGCTGGCTGGCCGGCGGCTGCCTCTGAGCTGCCTCGTTAGGCTAAGCTCAGTTCCACAGCAAGGGCCCTGGGTCAGTTTCTAAGGAGCAGGGGAGCAGGAGCAGGGAGCGACATGCTCGGCCTCCGCTGGAGGAGATGCGTCTGGCTTCAGGTGCACAGTGGGCTCTGCGGGGACAGACCGTGAGTCGGTGTGGGGCCCCACCAGGGATTTGCCAGCGCAGCTAATGAACGCCCCCGCTGGCCCGGGATCTTCAGCTGACTCCTGAATTATGAATTACTTAATGCAACTGGTCTGATGGACCATTTTTCACAAAACAGGAACTCAGGGTGTGGAGTGGTGGGGTGGTGGGAGGAAACATTAACAAGGGTGTGGCAGACAGTTCCGGGTGGCTCCCAATGGCATTGTCCACCTCCCAGAGCAACTGAACCCCTGACTCCTAGCTGGGAATGTGGCCACCCAGGACACAGAGTTCCCAGCCTCCTCTGCAGCGGGCTGGGCATGGAACCCAGCGCTCCCTCAGGACGGGAAGGGAAGTGACTTGTGCAGCTTCCAGATATTTCCCAGGAGAGAGAAGGAGGCTCTTCTATCTGCATCTCCCTCTGTCCTGTTGCGGGGAGCACGAGCTCTGAGGCTGGAGCTCTGTCCTGACCACACGGACGAGGGCGGCTCCTCTGGGATGACAGGGCAACGGGGACAGGAGCCTCCCGGGCAGCCCTGCCAGACCAGCGCCAACCATGTGCCTCCAGACTGAGCGCGGGAGAGGGGCCAGCTCTGTGCGCCACTCTGCCGTGGGCCTTTGTTCCAGCAGCTGGACCCTGTCCTGACCAGGATGGCCATCTTGGAGGCGACTTTCTGGGGGGGCTCCCTCGGGTCAGGCCGCTCCCCGGGCCACAGCTGCCTGCAGTGTTCAGCCCTCCTTTCCGTGGGGTGACAGCCAAGCTCAGCTCCACCCCACTCCCCTCTCGGGGCGCTGCCCTGGAAATCTAATGCGTGAAGGTCGATGACCCCAGGAAACAAATCTGGTGCTGGTGTCCCCCAGGGCGTCCCCTTGTTCTGTCCTCCCACACTGCGCACCCCCATTCTCTCCCAAAGACACCCCTTGTTCTGAAACAGGCTGGGCTGAAACTGTCTCTCCCTGCTGATGTCCGCAGATTCTCGTCACCTGACTCAGGGAGCAGCTCTCTAACTGGATTATTGCTGGAAAGTTGAGTTAGGAACTGACGGCTGTCTGCTAAAGTGACAAGATTAAAAGCTGAATCCGAAAAACCCACCAAACTCCAGGCTCAGTGGGCGGGCAGAGCCTGGGACTCGGTCAAGCCCTGGCCCCGAGCCCGCTGCCTGGGGAGACAGACATTCGGGACGTCCCGGGGCTCTGGTCTTGTCCGTGGAATGCCTGATGTGCCCTCCACTCTTCTGGAGCCTCCCGTTTGATGGGGAAAGGAACTCCAGTGTGTATTCCAGGTTCACCTTGTCGAAGATGCTGTGACAGGGCGCACACTTCCTTTGCTCTTCCTCTGTTCAGGCTAAGCGTCTGCAAAGGGTCTGGGAGGGCAGGTTTCACACAGAATGTGACAAGGGAACATGTGCGGTTCAGTAAGGCCAGCGGACCCGGAGACGATGCCATTGAGAAGATAGTTGATTACTTGCAGTTCTCCGAGGCGGAGCTCGCAGGGCCACGCAGGGCCACCCGGGAAGCCCCGGGGGTCAGGAGGCGAGACAGCAGGGCACCGCGGGCAGGAGTCTGTCCTGTGGGTTCTGCGGGGAGGAACAGCGAGGCAGGGTGAGCAGGCTCAGACGGGCTGGTCTGAATAACTCACAGGCTCCGGGGCAGGGGGCTGTCCCGCCTGTCCGGTGCCTGCCCTGGGGGACAAGGGCAGGGGGCCCGTGGCCCTGAGTGTGAGAGTCCAAGAGAGGAGGTGCTTGGGGTGTGGATGGCCCCTGGATGGGTCGGTTTGTATTTGGAATGTGGGCCCACGAAGGAGGGCTCTTCCTGGGGTGGGGGTGCGACAAGGGAGGCAGGAGGCCGAGCCGAAGGGACTTGGGACAAGGCGTGTCCCCTATGCGCACGTGGGCCAGAGGTTAAAGCCTCAGGTTTCCAGAAGCTACAAACATGGCCCAGACAAGGCTCAGCTCCGACGTCACCTCCTCAGAGGAGCCTTCCCTGCCTCCTGTGTCCAAAGTGACGGCCTCCCGCCAAGGTCTCCCTCGCGTCGGCCCTTTCATTCCCCTCACTGCGTTCAGAGCCAGGCCCCCCGCTCAGCACCCGCTCAGTGGGAGACGGGCCGGAGGTCAGGGTGCCCCTTCACTCAGAAGCTTTATTCTTTTCTTTTTTTGTTGTGAGGAAGATTGGCCCTGAGCTAACATCTGTGCCAATTTTCCGCCATTTTCTGGGCGGGACACCTGCCACAGCATGGGCAGATGAGCGATGTGAGTGTCTGCACCTGGGGTCCAAACCTGCAAACCTGGGGCCGCTGAAGAGGAGTGCAGGAGCTTAACCACTATGCCGCCGACCCAGCCCCAGGATTCTTTTGATAGCCTGTGGCAGAAACCCAAGGGGCTTGAACTAGCAAACGAACAAAGCAGGAGAGAACAATTTCTGTAACTAGGCCGTCTAAAGGCACAGAGCTTCAGGTGAGGCTGTACCTGGGTGCTCGATGCCACCAGCAGGGATCGGCCCTCCCAGCCTCTTGGCTTGGCTGCCTGCCCTCTGTGCTGCTGTCCTGCTCAGGGGGAGCTCTCCACTGCCACTCCCGGGCTGGCCTCAGCACCCATCAGCAGCCCAACAGAAAAAGAACTTCTCTTCCCCAGGATTCCAGCCCTAGCTGCTCCCCGTTTCCCAGGTGGGAGATGGGGTGCCTGGCCGGGCCAAGGTGGGACCGGCTCTGAGTTCACATTAGCCCCGCCGTAGGTTCCCCTTTAGAGAACCCAGCAGAGATGGGCTAAAACTCAAGGCCCACATCCCCAGGGCCCTGGGTCCTTAGTGACACTCATAGGTAAAGGCTTGTTTCTGTGACCTGTGACCCCTTGAGCTATAGAGCCAAATGGAATTAGCAAATTGTTCAAGTCCAGATGGGCTCCCGCTGGGCTCCCACTAAAGTCATGCTGATC